TTCAGTCCAGGACCTTCACAGATTAAAAGCACATGGAATGCCCATGAGCTAAGATACCTAAAAGGAACAGAGAATGATGCAGTAACATGAAAGTACTGTATGCCTCCCCCAGTTCTGGGAACTGTAGCTTAAAATACAGGAAGGCATTGTATTGGAAAAGGCAGATCTGTACTAAAGGCCCTCAGCACCAACTCTTTAGATTTTCATTTAGAAGCCTTGTAGCAGCTTGGACAAGCTTCCTTCATAAGAAGATCAGTCGCAGCAGGCAAGCTTTCTGGAAAGCCAGCTGTAGAAGTATATGGAGTTTGATCCGTACCTGCTGACATTTCACATATAGGGACACAGCAACGCTCAACCCAATTCCTATAAGGTATGTAAGAGCATAAAGTAGGGTATGGAATCACACAATATAGGAAGAGGATAATCTAAGAACACTTCATAAATTAAGTGCCCTGAAGTGTTCTATTCACTTCTTGGGCATCTTCAAGGCACAAACAGCCTTTTAGAGTAGACCTGTGCTAATCAAGCCCCAATTATAGAAGAGAAGCCAGGAGAATAGCAGTTTACCTTGGAACATTTAATTGATGGGTGACACCTTGGGGGTCATAGTCTTTGCTGCTACAGCACACCATCTCTTTCCAAATCGAAGTTTGTTTTTTAAAAAAATAGTCTTTATGTCTCTGTTTTATAGACTTCTCCAAACTCACTTGAATACCTTTTTAACAAGTAGCTCCACTGCTTTTAAGAGCCCTATTATACAGCCTATGAAAATAGTTTTGCAGGGCCTGTATAATTGCTAACAGCTAAGTGCTAATGGCATTATATAAACAGGCTTCAATGCGGTCTATTCATAAAGACTACAGACTCAGGTCAATATAAACCCTGCAAGATCCAAGGAATCAGAACAGCAAAGAAAGGACTTTTTAAAAAAAGTTAGATCATGGAACAAAATGATATTAAGACAATGTTAATCCGTAATGCATGACTCAGGACCACAACATAGCATGCGATTTCCTACATGAGAAGTAAACTGTTGAAAGTTACAGTACACAGTATAAATTCTTAAAAGAGCAACACGCAAAAAAAATAAATCCCAATATTTGACGAAACTAAATGGAGAAGCCAGCATCAGAGTCAGGCCTGGAGGGTGTAGTACTACTTTTTAGAGGAAGCGAAGGAAGCCACACTGGACCCAAGAGCCTGTGGGAGGCAGGGAAAGCATCTTCTCATGCCTGCTTTGAACCAGTGAGCCCGGTCAAAACTTCCCAGAAGCAGAGAATCTTCCTTTTGTTGTGTGGTAGCTTTGACAAAGATGATAAGAACCGGGTCCTCATTTCTAGCAAGGATTCTGCAAGACTCCCAGTACAGACCGGGGGGGGGCACCCTGTTTCGTGCCTGCCTCTTTAACTTTTCTTCACTATAAGTCTCATTTTTGCCCAAACTTAGGCTTGGTTTCAGCCAAAACCAGGGTAATCTGGGCATGGCTGGATTGTGGTCGTGCAAATTCTCAGCTGAAAGTCAGAAACTGCTGCTACAGGCCAGCAGGGCTCCAGTTCTGCATTTCTAGCCTCAGCAAAGACTTTCTGTTCTCTTTTGAATGGCAGTTCTGATCTTCCGGGCTAAGTACACGCAGATCATTAATAGTAATTCAGCACCAAGAAAAGACATACACACTCCAGTCATAATCCCTCCTTGTCATGCTAGCATTTATAGCTGCTGCTGAGTCCTGGATCTAGAGTGTAACTGGACATAACACCATCCGTGCAGGGCATTTCTTGTAAGAGACATGACAGGAACTCTCTTGTGCTAATTCTGACCTTCCACCCTATGCAAACAGGAATGGCAGCATCACTGAGGCAGTAAATGGTGGAGTCTGGACTAGGCCTCGTCGTGTCTCCTTTGGAAGGCTTGCCACCTCTTTGGAAACTAATGGAACAGTGGAGAATTCCCAGAACTGCTCAGACCACATAAAACCAATGTCCTATTAAACCACTTGTGGTGGAAACAGATGGGATAGACATAATTAGTTTAATAACTTTTGGAGTTATTAGCTCAGCAACTTCCAACCGAAATGAGAAGATGTCTTTAATAACTGCACGTTCAATAACACAGGAGACGCTCACCAGCTCCTGCAGACTAGAGTCTAGACAAATCACCAGTTTAGTCTAGTCTGGCTTAAAGATGGAGCAATTGAATCAACTGGATAACAATTTAATCCTTTCCCTCCTCCTCTTGTTATCAAGATTACACACACTTAAGAATTCCTGGCAGACCCTTGTGTACAACATTAAGGGCTTGGAGGCCAATTCATAAACATCTTAATCATCCAGCCCCCTATAGTGTAGATTTCTTCCATCTGCAACGACCTCCCAAACTGTATTCCAAGGCGCCTTCCCTTGTGGATTTACGTTTACAGGTCAGGCGTGTTTTTATCCGGGGTCACTGTCGCATCCATGATGTTTGTAAACTGTTTAGGACTCTTTAAATAAGGGAGATGATTCTAGGCTTAAACCTTTCTAATGAAACTTTTAACGGAAGGGCAGCCTGATGGAGTTTGCACAGTGATCTGACAGACCATGATCCAAATCACCTTTTGGCTCAATGGGTGGCCTTCAGCAAGACAGAAGCCAATGGATGGTGTACTCTGGATTTGGGGAGAGCTGGTTTCTAATGGTTCCGAAATATGATGCTCTTGCAGGAATGTTGTGAGCACCCTGGCTTTATTGTTTCATTGTATGTGTACACTGCGTTTTTTAAAATTATTATTGTGATGGGCAACTGCTTAGAGCAGATGGGGGCAGCCTGTATCTCTCTAGATCAGTCTAGGCTGTAAAGCTGATGAAGGAGGACAGTGGGAGCCATAATCCCAACACCTGAAGGACCACACGTTGCCGACTCCTGGCGTAGTGTTTACTTTCTTGTAAGCTAACCTTAATGATACCATAATGGTGGAAGTATATGCAAACATTATCTTGATGTTGTTGTTTAGTTGTTAAGTCGTGTCCAACTCTTCGTGACCTCATGGACCACAGCACACCAGGCCCTCCTGTCTTCCACTTCCTCCCAGAGTTGGGTCAAATTCATGTTGGTCACTTCGATGACACTGTCCAACCAGTGAAGCAATTAATTAGGGTCTTTGGGTGTATTCTATCCTGAGTTGCTTGGAGGAAATGGAATGAGACAACAAGAACATGATGTTTTAAAAAGTAATACTCAGCCTCACCTCCTTAAATGTGAAATAAAGATGAGCAGCACAATTCTCATATTTTATGACTGATCAAGATGTAACACTGCAAAGCCCCTGCCCACCTAGGGAACCAATATTTATTTATTTAGTCATTCATTTATTTATCTCCCTCCCTCCTTCCCTCACTGAGCTATCCAGCCAGCCAACTACCTATCATATAGATGTTAAATGCGGAGTGCCGCTCAGAGATGGCAGTCATAACTTGGTACTAATGTGGCCAAACACAAAGAGGTCTCCACAATATAGTGCTCTAACCTGTCATTCAAGCCCACTGACTATCTTCCCAAAAACTGCCTAAATCCGTTACTTTGCTGCACACTCAGCTTTGCATTTTTAGTAAGAAATTTTACTTTTGTGTTATGAGTTTTAGCAAGGCTAGTTTACCCTCCCTCTCTTGCAGAGGGTCACTCCCCAGTTTGAGAACTGTGGCACCAGACACAGAGGCTGAGAATGGGTTGTGCCAGCACAAATCTTTCAAGTAATCATTTCACAAGATCTAGAAATGCTATGATAAAATAGACCCTCCCCCCCTTCTGTCAGGGACAGTAAGAACAACAACACTCTGAACCATGTGCAGTTATTAAGGAGTTCTGACATAACAGATGGGCTGTCAGACATAAGTCTGACCGGCCACTGCAAGCAGGAGATAGGACATGCATTCCGTTTTTGTTTTTTGAAATGTGATTTCATCTCAAACCTCTTCAAGGCATTTTAATTCAGTTTAGAACTCATTAATTTAGGCAAGCGGAAGCTCTTGATCTTCCCCAGCCCCTTTTTGCTGACCGCCGTGCAGTCAATCAAAAAGTTATTACTCTGTTGTAGGAAGGGTAATAAACAAGTTACACTGTTGGCTGGACGAAATGGCATGGGCAGGATGCTTTCTACCTGCCCACAAGCCTTATTCAGCTGAAAGAAGGAAGGCGAGGGCCAAAGGTGCTCTCTTTGAGGCTTTAAATATTGTTTTCAGATAACTCTTCCCCAACCCCCCTCTCCATCCCCTGCCTGCCTGGAAAAAAAATAGACTAAGAAAGAAATCTGAGTTGCATCTCCAGGTTAACTATGAAGTGCAAAAAGGATGAGTTGGGTCAAATCTAGGAGAAAATTTGCAGAAACCTAAAGAAATCAAACACATTTCGAGCAAGGGGAGGAGAAGACTCTCCAACTGAAAACATCATGGACAGGGAAGCGACCAATTATCTTATTTTTCAGATACACGACTATCCATTTCCTACAGATACTTATCTGTAATGTCTTGACCGAGGGCAAAGATAATGCTCACAGTCTGCCTGCGTGGCTAAGAGATTGACAGCCGGCTATGGGTCACGCCATTTCTTTTGATTTGAGAAGGACCTTTTTCTCCCTTCCCTCTGGTTTCCCAATTCATGAAAAACTGTGCAATTCTACATATATCTGCTCGGGTGTATACTCCACACAACATCAGAGATTTCTCAGGCTATAGAAAGACAAAATGCCTGAGGGATGCTGGGCCATTCTACCTACCTGACTGAAAGACAACATGATTTCCGCCGCCCCCCCCCTTCCCATTTTTCTTGTTCGGTGCTGTGTATTAGATTAAAAGCCCTGTTAGGGTTGCTATAAGTCAGTTCCAACTTAACAGCACAGAACACACACACACATTAGGACGTAAGCTTGTGGCAGGAACTTTTAAAACCAATTATAAGTAAGGACCTTTCTAAGTGTGATAAAAATTCTGCAAACAAATAAATAATGGAACTGAAACCAAGGCACTTACCACTTGGGTTGAAAGACATACAACAGATGGGTTTTTCGTGTGCTGGGAAGTGAGCCACTATGCCATCACTGTCCACATCCTCACTCACAAGCACCTGCATAAAAACAGAGAGAGCAGAAGGCAAGAGTCATGTTTGCATTTTATTCAGCTAATAGTTGCAACCTGATGATTTAAGACAGCTATCTTAACAGTCACCATACCAAATACCCCATCAATTATTCTATTGCTTTTTCCTAAACTGTAGTTAGGGAAACACATCACACAATAGCGTCCCACATGAATTAAGGCTTCCTCACCTCTGCGTCCAGTGGGAACCAATAAGGCTGACCAGAATCAAGGAAAAAATGGAATGCATCTATATTATGCATTTATGTGACTTTGTGTTATAACACGATGGTGTAATACGCAGCTTTTCATATTTTGGTTGGATCACAACTCCCAGCAGCCCTAGTTAGCACAGCCAATGATGGGAGATGCTAGGAATTTTGATCAGCAACATGTGGAGAGCTGCAGGGAAATGGGTGGAACTCAGTATCAAGAGCAAACCAATCTTTACTGCATCTCACTGAGGTCCATTACAATGACTACGAAGTGGAACAAATTAATCTATAACAGATAAAATAAAATGCAGTCTACTTTGGAATCACTTTGGAATTGTAACAAAGTGCATTGTTTTAAAATTAATAATTAAGGACTTTAAAAACCAATAATAAAATGGATATTGTAATTTCCTGCCAGCTACAGCAAATCGTGTTACTAAATAGGTTATATATGGCTGAGTATCATTTAGCTTCAGTGTATCCTGTGCAATTTTGACCGATGTTTTCTGTCTGACTTTTTGTGTGCTTGTTTCATAGTGAAACTGGCCTAATCAAGTCCCTCGTTTCTAGTGCTTGGAAAAATTCCTCTCTTTTTTGGCCTCAGAATCCTCCAGCCATTACAGTCGCTGACCATGCTGGTTGAGTAATTCTGACACTGTATTCCAAAGAACCTTCCCCCACCACCCGCCTAAGTTCTGCATCCTATATTCTTACCAGACAGACCATATATATTGGTACAATAGTAACTCTATTGCGTTCCACTAAAAGAACAGTTATAGGGTTCAGTTTAGAAGCTGACAAACCTACAACTTCCCAATGAAACTCATATTCATGAGTTTTCCTCTCTAGGAGGCAACACCTCTGTCACAAACATAAGCACTAGTTGTGCAAAGAAATGGCATTTAAATTCACAATAAGCAAAAGGGATTGTTAGTACATCCCTGTTATGGATATGAAGACTATTATAAGGGAGGAAGACCATACTGACACCTTCTACCTGTTACTGACATAGCAATGCATATTGTTCTGTTTGATTCTGACATTGACAGGCAATGAAAAATTTGGAACCTAGATTTTATTAGAGAGGAATTCACATATTTGATACTCCACAGAGGTTTTAAGAGAAAAAAAGAGTACCCCATCTGTCATCAGCAGTACAACTGTGATGAGAAGAATACAGCTGAGTAGGTAAGAAAATATATTTGATAGGTTTCCATCCTTAACTGGCAGGGGCACAGAAACATGGTACACCTTGACTTTGAAGTCCAGACAATCCAGTTTTCCTGTCTTTTCAACATTTTTATACTTCTGCCCATCACAGTTCATCAGAGGTTTACTTGGAAATGCATTTAGGAGGCAATTAATCACAGGTAACAAATATGTACAGTACACAGAAAGCATGAAGATTCATTCATTCATTCCATGTGACTTTTCAAGAAAACATTACAGTATTAAAGAGGCTTATGTAGCAAAAAGTTGGTTTATGGACAAATTTCAGTTATATTATACAGTATGTGGTCTCCATAGGAGGACCAAGTGTTTACATGTAGATGTTCAACTCTTGACCAAAGGAATAGATGACTTCACTGTGCCACTCACAGTTTATATAGCTCTGGCTGTCTTTGAGAGAAACCTCTTCCTGGAATCCTAAACCAACCTTATAAGTCCACCTCAGTGCAGAATTCAAACCAGTGTGAAAAGCAGTTTGGAAGGCATGGGTAACAGTCAAGTTGAATAAACATCATGTTTACATGATCTTTTTTTTAAATGGAACTCCAAAATGCACCCATCAAAGCCTGGAGCAAATGAATTTAAGAATTAGAACTCAATAATACATCTGGAGTTTGAAACGGCACCCCTTAAACAATCCACTCATTGTTATTCCAAGATTTTTAATTTCAGCAGAATACTTTAAGGTAGGAAAAGGAGCCCTTTCATTGCTCTCCCAGGTCAGATATCTTTACCGATTCACTGCCAATCATCCTGCAATATACTGATAGATGCAGATCCACCCCTCCCTGGTTTCTAAACTACAGAAAACAGGCCTAGTCTGACCTAGCCAAAGTGCCTCAGTCATCAAAGATCACCATGTGGAATGTAAGATCATAGTCTGGATAAGAATGTTGTGTTTGCATGGATGGGACCAAGGTTCAAATCCTTCTTCAGACATCCCTGCATATGAACCCTATCTCCCCACTAAGGTTACTCAAGAAAAACACCCTTTTGGGACTATTTCAGTTTCTGGATATTTTCCAAGGCTCTGATGTGGAAGGTAGAAAGGAAACAAAATGTCCAGCATCCAGATCAGACTTATAACAAACAAACAAACATACAAGGTGGTAACAAAGACAGTGAAGTCAAATAAGATTATTCTTTGTGGTATGGAGAAGCCAGTGTTAGGACTTCTGAATACATCAAGTTCTTAAGACTGCCTTCCTTCCCTCCCACATACCCAAGGCAGCAACTCCTTCTTCCGACCCCAAGCCTTGTGCTGTCACTGCTATCACGAAGAGTGCATTATAAAAATGCTTTCAGAGACAAGGTTCATAAATCTGGCCATTATCCTGTGTAAAGCACAGCAACACTATGGCAGAAAGTTCCTCGATTCTCTTGAGATACTAGGAGAGAAAGGAAAAAAAAGAAAAGAAAGAAAGAAAGATTGCCTTCACCTCACTATAGAGTCATGACAAGCATCACTCATTTTGTCAGATACCTGATTTCACTTCTCCGACAAACTCCAACAGGAACAGACTCATCTCTGGGAGCTCACTTGCATTGTTACCAGCCTGTATTGATGTTCCACAAAGCACAAGACCTGGTAAGACAATTCATAAGTTGGAGCTACAACAAAACCTTAAGCACAGAGGTGAAAAGGACCTCTGTGGCCTCCAGGTAGTGCAAGAGAAAGCCTTGAGAACTGAATTTATCTTCCACAGAAGAGAAGAATGAAATGTGTGCTACATTCAGACTTCGTAGGCCCTCATGGCTATATCTAAGGCAGCTCCTTGCACTTGTTGATTAGAATAACTTAACTGTAATCATCCCAATACAAATCATGGAGGAAAACTGCAATGTAGTTGCATCCTCATTCAAGCTGAACAATAATGGATTATTGTGGCAGCTGACGGCTTCTTGGACAGTGAACAATGATATTTATGATAGAAATGTGTGTTCCCTCTGGTAATAAGGGTCTCAAAACTGGCTGTATAATTAATGAAATGGATGCAGAAATGAATATTTGTGCTTTTCTTTCCTTGAGCTGATTTTAGAGTTCTGGTCATAAATGTTGTTCTTACCCTCCTTTCCCCAAAATAAGACCTAACCTGAAAATAAGCCCTAGTACGATTTTTCAGGATGCTCCTAATGTAAGACCTACCCCAAAAATAAGCCATAGTTAAGTGAAACCCCACCCTCAACCACTGTGCAGCAACCAGAATATGACATGACTGTAAAATAAAACATCCCCTGAAAATCAGCCTTAATGCGTTTTTTGGAGCACAAATTAATATAAGACCCTGTCTTATTTTTGGGGAAACACAATAGGTATTGCTCTTGTTTTTCGTTTTAAATGCCTGATTAAACTAAAGTTGCAAAAAAGACATTCATCTGTGGAAGTAGAACCAAAGAAATGTTAAGCGTCTAATTTTTTAAGAGGTGCAGGAACAACAAAGGATACAAAGATACAGAGAAAGAAAGAAAAACAAGGAGCACCTCAAAACATTATAGCTAAGGTCAAACATCAGTGGAAAAAAGGCTAAATGTGATAAATCGGCAACATTAACTGTTCCTCTAGTTTTAATAGAATCCAGCATAAACTCAGAGCAGCCCCTGGCTTGGCCTTAGCCATTAATCTGCAACAAAAAATGTCTTCTTGACAAAAAGCAGAGCCCCTTTAATAAAAGTTAAGGCAGACAGTATTAGTTTCAGAGGGAATCCTGTTGCCTTTTTATATAAAGTGAATTCTTCTATAATGTGTAGATTAAAAAAGCGGGGGAAAGATGGGGAGGAAGTCAATGCCAAGGGTAGCAGAACACATTACTATCAGTGAAAAGAGCATTTTGCTGTAAATAAACACTGGTGCTAACGGCCAATGGAAGTCTACATGGTAGGTTCAAGTTTTATTGCTGGAAGGTCATTTATTTGTTAAGTTTTTGGCCTGAACTCAAGAGCGGCTTTTCTCATAGATTCTTGATACTCGATAAGCATCTTTCGTTGGCTGCATTTTTTAAATCAACCCCTAACCCCGATGGATTTAACTTCCGATGTTGCTGCAATCTGCCCTTCCCCTCTCCCACTGTACTGTCCGTCTTTCAAAGCAGCGCAATATGAAGAAAGAACAGAGGCACACCATTGCATGGAAAGCAGTTAAGACTTTGATCCAGGATTTTCATTGTGCAGTTTTCGATATGGCGCCTTTAGGTGTGCAGCTATTTCAACAACAGATCCTTCCTCATTTACTTCTCAGCTGGTTTTTAATAACTGCCACCTGCTTTTAATATATATACCCAGACAGAATCAGACAGACAGACAGACACACAGACAGATAACAAGCAGACTTTTAAAAAGAGCCAGCAATGTTGATACTTTGCTCCCAGTTATATGGGGCAGGTGGGGTCGGGGGGAATGATGAATAGCATCACTTCAAAAGAATTAGGCTGTATTTTTATAAATCTTAAATGCAAGAATTCCTGGATGAAGCGGATTATCCAGATCCATTTCAATATGGCTTCAGGTTCGGCTATGGGATGGAAGCAGTTTTAGTTGCTTTGGTAGA